AGCAGAAGAAAGGCAATATAAGGGCTAAAGCCTGGCTAGGACACAGGTGCATGTGGAAGGAATGGGGGGGTGGCCACCCCCAAACTAAGATTTTTAAAATGGTAGCTTGAACAGGAAATACAGTCACCAAAATATTAAAAAACAAAGTCACAGACCCCAGGGTGAGAACCCCTATTCCAGAGTAATTATATGTTACCCCCGAGATATAAACATTTTTTCAGCTTACTTTGATGAAGTTTTACAAATGCCATACATTTATCCTAAAAAAAGTTCAGTTTTTTACAATTCAATAAAACAAAAACAACCAATCAGGAAGCATTTTAAAACACGTAGTAGTAGATGCTAGGCTTTGCACTGAGTACTGGGGACACAAAGACAAGTGAAACAGTCCCTGCCCTCAAGTAGCTTACATTTTAATAGGGAAAAGGACAGGTATGTTGTAAATATGTACAGGATATAAAAAAAATGAATACAAGGTAGTTTGGGGAGGAACAATACTAGAATTTGGGGGAAATGAGAAAGGCTTCATATAGAAGGTAGTGTTTAAGCTGTATCTTGAAGCAAGCCAGGGATCATAAGAGATGGAGGCAAGGAGGAAGGGCATTCCAGGCATGGGGAACAGAGAGTAGAAAGGCAAGGAGATGGGAGATGTGTGAGGAATGGCAAGTGGGTCAGTGCCATTATGGCTGGACCAGAGAGGGCAAGGAGGGAAGGAATGTGTAAAAAGACTGTAAAGGGAGGAAGGAGTCAGGCTGTAAAGAGCTTTGTCCTTTCAGACCAAGGATTTTCTATTTGATCCTGGAGGTAATATGGCATTGATTGACAAGGAGGATGTCATGGTCAGCGCTGCACTTCAAGTAAAATCACTTTGGCAGCTCTATCAAGTATGGATTGGAGTTGGGAGAGACTTGAAGCAGGAAGACCAAAGAGGAGGCTATTGCAATACGTCAGGCAAGAGGTGACAAGGTGACAAGAGGCGAGCTAGGGTAGTGCCTGAAGTGGACACATTATGTGACACATTTACTAGTCAACACATTTATTAAGTGCCAACTTAAAGTAAGGCATTGAGGATGCAAAAGCAGAAAAACAATGTCCTCAAAGAGTTTACAGTCTAACTGGGGGGGGGGGGGTGTGGGGGCGGCAGGTACACAAATAAGCATAAGGTAACCAAGGATAGGATAGCTAGATGGCACAGTGGATGGAGCTCCCAGCCTGGAATCGGGAAGACCTGAGTTCAAATCTAGCCTCAGACACTTACTAGCTGTGTAACCCTGGGCAAGTCACTTAACCCCATTTGCCTCAGTTTCCTTATCTGTAAAATGAGCTGAAGAAGAGAATAGTATCTCTGCCAAGAAAATCCCAAATGGGGTCACAAAGAGTTGGACATGACTGAAAAACTACTGAACACACAAACAAGGATAATTAAAAGAACATTTTAACATCCCTTTCTCTACGAGAAGCCTTTTTAGATCCCCTTTAATTTTAGTGTCCTCCTTCTGTTGAATATTTCCAATTTATCCTGTCCACAGTTTGTTCATAAACAGTTGTTTACATGGTGTCTCCCCCATTAGATTGTGAGCATCTTGAGGGCAAGGACTGTCTTGCCTTTCTTTGTATCCTCAGTGCTTATCACAGTGTCTGGCATGTGTTAGTCATAAATGCTTATGACTGACATGACTTTTCACACTTTTCAAAAGACTGATTATCTAGCTATGAGACACTGACCAAACACCGAACCAGTGCTGCCACATGCCTGAAAACTGGCCTGTCCTGCCAACACATCTAAACGTCCCCAAGACAAGTGCCAACAGGCCAAAAATCTACACACAGCTGTGGCGGAGGACTCATCCACTGAACCACCATCTCTGAAGCTAATCTGCTGAACGTGTGTTGTAAGCTATTTATTCACTCAGTCTTTCCCAGACAGACAAGAAAGGCTATTCCTGTCTGTGGAAATGATACCAAAGCACCACTATGTTGTTTAGGGAAGGAAAAAAGGGCTCTGAAATTGTTATCCCATTCTATCCTATCAATAACTTCGAAAAACAAATCCAATCAACACTGGCTTCAAATACTGTTCTTTAAACCTATTTTAAAGCCCCAAAGGACTATGGGAGCACTTGAAAGGATTAAGAGCCAAGCAAATAAGAAATTATAAATAGTTTTTCTGAGATAATCCTACAAGAAGTTTGACCAATCAAGGTAATGTATTAAAGCCTTGTTCTGCAGGGTGACACATTTTTGTGCATTAATGAGGTCAGGCAAAACTCACACTGCTGGCTATGTTCTTCTGCTCTAAAGGGGAGATTCCAACCTGGTAAATGCACTGTGCTCAGCTGTGCGGATGAGGAAATTGATCAGATATGAAATATCATGCTACTAAGCATGTAGTTTTTTAAAAAAAATTTCTATTGACATCTTGTCTATCACCCACCTTTCCCATGCTATGTATTCTTCCTTTTACCCTCTCCCAGAGAGCCATTCTTTATAATAAAGAAGAAAAAAGGAAAAAGAAAAAAAAAGTTTTGCAAAACAATGAAAAAGTCTGACTTTAAATGCAGTAAAGAACACAATTTTCAATTTTGAAGTAGCTGGTCTTTTGGTAGTAGCAAAAAACTAGAATCTAAGGGGGAGCCCTAAACACACTGGAAGTAGAAATAGAATGGAATGCTATTTTGCCATTAGAAGTGATGAAAGGAATAGTTTCAGAGGAAACTGGGAAGATCTCTATGAACTGACACAGAGTGGAGTAAGCAGAACTAGCAAATCAATTTATACAGTGATAACAACATTACAGAGATAAAACACCTCTGAAAGACTTTAGGACTCTGATCACGACAATGATAAACCAGGAATCCAGGGGACCGAGAATGAAATATACCACATTCCTCCTGCAAGAAAGGAAATAGACTGAAAATGCAGAATGAGACATATATTTTTGGACATGGTCAATATGGGGATTTGTTTATCTGGACTATGCATGTTTGTTATGGGAGTTTTGATTTCTACTTTTTTTTTGTGGTGGTTGTGTTTAGTTGGGGGGGCAGCAGAAGGGAGGAATGATAAATGCATGTGAACATAAATAAATATTTTTAAAATGAAAAAGAAGAGCTAAAAAAAATAAGCAGCTGGCTCAAGGACAAACTTAATTTAACAAACAACCAAGGAAAAATAAAGAAGTGTAGAAAGATGATAGTAGGCTTTATGGGGTCCATGATGCGGTAAAAGTAAAAAGCAGTAAAAGGCAGCTAGGTGGGACAGTGGAAAGAGTGCTGGACATGGAATCAGGAAGATGTGAGTTCAAATACTGCCTCAGACACATAGTAGCTGTGCAACTCTGGGGAAATCACTTAACCTCTTGCAGCTTCAGTTTTTTCATCTACAAAATGGGGAAAATAATTAGCACCTGCCTCCCAGGGTTGTGGATCAAATGAAATAACACATATAAAAAACCCTTGAAGTGCCAATGTAAATGCTACCTATAAATATTAGTCATTAATTATATATGTATGTGTGTAAATATATGTATGTGTATGTATGCATGTGTATGTATATATGTATATATATACACACATACACATACATACACACACACACACACACACACATACCAATGAAACTCCTTAAAAACTGCTATTGTTTCAGTGAAAGAAACCAAGGCGCTAAAATACCTTTGCGTGAATTCTCCAAATCACAAGAAAACACCCAAGCCAGAAACCAATATGCTTGCTTCTCCTAAGGTTAGCCCACTACTTCTGCAGAATCAGAGACTTAATAGGACACCAGCAATAATCTATAGCTCAAAACCAAGAAGACAGAGCTTGTATTCCTAACCTCCCCAATCAGCATATATATACTTTTGTAATATAAAATTACAAAATACAACAGGGAAAGACTATTAGTTCTGTTTATGGGTGGTTACCTGGGACCTGCCAAGACACACTGAAGCACTCCTTTTCTCTTTGCTGAAAATCTGCACCTCTACATTTCTTTATTTTTACTCCCTTCATCTGCAGAAAACAACTTTTGTTTTTTCTTTTCTGAGCTCCCAAGAGAGTCTCCAATGCCATAGTTCTTGAACCCCTTATATCTATGACAGCCCTCATGAGGCCTGTGTCTTTTGGAAACCATGGCGGGTTTCTGCTGCCTGGGATGCTACCAATCCTGTCCTCCTTCAGCCTGCTTTTTGAACTTTCTAAAACATTTGTTTTAGTTGTAGAAAAAGTAAAACCTCTTTTTAAAAATATAAGATGGCATCTCCAGGAAATAAAGGATATAAAACTGCAGTTAGTAAGCAAAAGGTTAATAAGCACAAGAAACAGACCAAATCTCAGGTAATCTATGCAGTTTACACCAAGGTCTTACAGGAAAGAATAGAAACGAAAAGAGAAGCCAGTACGTGGCACCCAACCTGCCTTGAACCATAGAAATTTGCTCTCTTTCCATAAGCTGAGCTCTCTTAGGCTTATTCGTCAATGGCTTATGCCTCTGAAGCAGGGCATGGTAACAAGGAGACACACAAGCCAAAGGTTATGTAATTTTGTTCTAAGATCTCTGATCAATACAATGACCAACAATGATTTCATAGGGTTTATAATGGACTCAATATGCATGAGGGCTCATTCTGAGACAACTTTTTTGCACCTTTGGCTAAAGCAGAAATTTGTTTTGCTCAATTCTGCATTTTTTTAACAAAACAAAAACAATTTTGTTTTTCTTTATTGATGGGGATAATATATAAAGGAGGTGGAAGTGAGAGAAAAGCTTATTGAATGCGAAAAAATTAATAAGAGAAAAGAAACAAAAGGTTATATCTTTGTACTGTTGTAGCATAATGGCAAAATCTTTAAACAGGTTTAGTTCTTGGGGAAAAAAAAGGAATTTAAGGTGACAAAACATGACACCAGTCAAAAGAAGGAAAAAAAAAACCACCAGATCTGGAACAAAGCAGTGGCAACAATGGGGTTTTTTGGAATGAAAGATTTCAAAAAGCCACTCACCTGTGCACATATCTGATGCATCACATGACCAAACTCATGGAAATAGGTCCTCACCTCATCATGCCTCAGCAGAGAGGGACGGCCTGCAACAGGCTGGGAGAAGTTTACTACCAGGGCAGCCACAGACATCATTCGGCTACCATCAGGTAGGAGACAGCCTGGCTGCAGGCCAAAGCAGGCTGCATGGCCATACTTTCCTTCCCTGAGTTAAAGAGGCACAGAAACACAGAAACAGGTTAGAAGACATATATTAAGTGCTTATGATGTACAGGTTGAGAACTCTTTCAAACAACAGTCAGCCACTATAGCATGCCAAGAAAGATGGGGGTAGAAAAATAAGGATGTGGTCTGTTGTAAGCATTACCAGAAGGTTCTTACTATATTTCATTCACCCTGTGGAAAACAAGGTAGCTTGGGGTTTTTGTGAAAGTTTTTTTTTTAATAATATTTTATTTTTTCCAATGACATGTAAAAACAATTTTTAACATTCATTTAAAAGAAATTTTGAGTTCCAAATTTCCTTCCTCCCTGTCTTTCCTCTCCCCCTTTCCTAAAAAGGCAAGAATTTTAAATAGGTTATATATGTGTAATCATGTAAAACATATTTCCATATTATTCATGTTGTAAAAGAAGAAACAGACCAAAAGGAAAAAAAAACATGAAAAAAATAAAGTGAAAACAGTATGCTTTGATCTGCATTCAGACTATAAAAGTGTTAAAAACACCACCCTGAAGTTACATTATCAAGACTTACTTTATTGGGGAATATGATTCTTAGAAAGAAAATTATCCCTGCCTTGGCACATTTGACCACCCAAATTACTTTAATAATATCCTTCTCATCATTTCTAAGGACAGCACCAATCCAGCTTTTGTAATTAGCCACAGAAGTAAAAGTCAATTTGAAGTCAGAGGTAGTTGTCATTTTATACAAATGGTTGCCTCCTTTCTTAGGCTGATATCCAATTCTAGATTAGACCACAAACAATTCGATTCTTCCTCTGTTCAAAAAGGGAAGAATTCATGCTACCAAAAGTAGTCTATTTATAAATGGGACTATCTTGTCTGAAACAGAATACTCTACCTTGGCCTGGGAAGAGGCACCCAATACATTATAAACTCACCTGTCCTTAGAGAGGAGTAGTACCAAGGATGGGAACTTCAAAGCTGCAGATTACCTAACGGAGGCCATAGAGATGGCTTTGATTTTCTTTCCCTCAGATGACTAAAAGCACTCAGGTTTGTGTTTTTTTTTTTTCTTTTTGTCTTTGTTTTGTCTCTTCCCTTTCTAATGTCTTCCATCACTTTCTGGCTCTTGCCTGCTGAAGCTGCTACAGTTAACAAGGAGTTGGTCTGTCTTGAAACTATTCTGGGTGGTTCTTATTGACACAGCTGAACAAAAGAAACTAAGCAGGAGCTATTTATCTAGATTCTAGACTGAAAGATTATCCTTATGAAGAGAACAGGCAAAGTGGCTGAAGGTCTAAGTCATATAGAATACCCATCCTAATATTCATCCCCAAGTTTTCACCATTCCTACAAAAGATAATTACAGTCATAGCTAAGGCCAGAATTCAGAAAAGTGGCAGTAAAGACTGATTCTCTGAGTATCCAATTAAATTCAATTCAACAAACCAAAATGGTGCCCATGGTATGTAAAGCACTATGCTGGCTCCTAGGGAGATGAAGAGAAAAAAAAAAAACAGTCCCTGGCCTCAAGGAGCCCAAACCTACCAAGAGGGATGTGTTATGTCTACAAATAGTTATGATGTCTGTGACTAATGCAAAGGAAGTCTTCAGCCAAAAGAATCTAAGAATACTTGAAGAAGGATAACTCACTTTCAGCTAGGGGTGCATATCAGGGCAGATTTCATGGAGGGAGGAGATAGTACCAAAATTTGGTCTTACAAGAAGAGGAGCATTTAAATGAGAAAAGAGTGTTTTCTATACACAGGGAATGGCCTATGTGAAGACACATGGAGGTGGGACAGTACAGGATGAGATCTGAGAACAGCTGGTAGACCAGTCTGTCTGAAATGTAGACAGTGTGAAGGGGAGTAGTGTGAATAGAGGTAGGCTAGAACCAGATTGTGGAGGACCTTAAATGCTAGGCTAAGGAGTTATATTGAGTGTATCTTGGCAGACATACAGGAGGGTGAGGGAGACTTGCAGGCAAGAATAATCACTCCCAAGCCTGTACGGTCACCTGAGAAATTCTGAAAGCTATCACTGTAGCCCATACTCTCATTTTAAATAAGCATTTGGAGTGGTTTTCTTTTAAGCAATAGAATTGCATAGAACAGCTGTAGCTCACATTGATGACACCGGATTAACCATAACAATACTGACATGGTCACCCAGGTGCCACTAAATGGGCCAAACAGCCACTCATCTTCCTACCCAGCAACTATGGGATGTCACCTAGAGTGAGTGGATGAGCAATTTCTGCCAATTGGTGACCTGGGGATGATGTGTTTTCTTTTGCTCTAGCAAAACTGAGGACTGAAACCGACCTGCTACAGGTTTCACAGACATTTTCAGAGAATGGGAAAGAGATTCAGAAGAAGACATCAGACTTAACACCTGGTGCTAAGCAGCAACTCATGTCGAAGAACCAAGCTGAGAGGATCAATTTCAGAATGGAGACTAGTGGACTCTCAACAATGTGAATTTAAAAATAACCAAAGGCAAAGGATATGACAGAATTGCTATCAATAGAAGTCTAAGAGAGTAAGGAGTAATTTATAGAATTACCTTGGGTATAGATCCAAGTAAAACTGCCCTAATACTTCTCCAGTAGCTTTATCTTTCACTGTATAGAGAGTAACGCTTTCATTCCAGACGTGTGCATCAGTCACTTGCTCAAACGAAAGGCCCAATACCTCTTGGTAAATGTTCAGGAGGCCTTCAGTGACCACTTCCATTGGGAAGTATTCCTTGAGCTTCTCTTGGTTGATGGAGTACTTGAGTTCTTCTGCCTGGGTCATGTAGTAATGCAAATCCCATGCATTGATTTTTCCATCATATTCAAACCCCTTTTCCTCACATTCTTTTTTCTTCAAATTCAGGATGAACTCCCGCTCTTCTTCACCCAAAGGTTTTAGTTTCTGGCTTAAATCATCTGTGATGACAACGAAGACAGTTAATATTCTGGTTTTTCTCAGTGAGGGAATTCATTCATTCAACAAGAATTTATTAAACATTTATCATATGCCAGGCACCATGCTACAGAATGTAGGATATGTGTTTCTAGTATTTTTAAACACAATGTCCTCTTCAAAAACAAAACTTTTTTTTTTTTGGAGGGGTGCTTTTTGTCTACATCACAGCCATTTATGGAAAAAAAATCCTCTTCTTCCTCTCTCTAGATTGAACCCTACCTCATAACAAGGAAGAAGAATTAACCAAAAACTGACTACATCTGACAATGTATGTTAATAACATTCTATCTTTGTAGCTCCTTATCTCCTGATGTGGAAGGGTGTTATATTTTATCATTGGTTCTCAGGAATGATCACTTTTTTTTTTAAACGCCCTTTTCAGTGATTAAAAAAAATTATATTGTTGTAGTCATTGTGTCTAGCATTCCTTTAGTTCTCCTTATCTCACTTTGTATCAGTTCATACAAAATTTCCTCTGCTTCTCCAGATTCCTTATATTAGTCATTTCTTACCAGACAACAATATATTACACCAATGGTATATGGTTCAGCCATTCCAAAACTGATGAGCATTCACTTTGTTTTTGGTCCTTTGCAGCAAGAGTGCAGCTATGAATATTTGGCTATATTTTTGATCATTTTTTTCTGTCTGTCTTCCTTGGAGAATATATTCAATTGCAAGGCCAAAGGGTATTGACAGTTTAGTAACTTTTCTTGCATGCTTTCAAATTAATATTCATAACACCTGGACCAATTCACTGCTCTATCAGCAGTGTGTTGCATATCTATTTCCCCATAGCACCTCCAACATCAACTGTTTCTAGTTTCCTTTTTTTGGGGGGGTAGGCATCATCTTTGTTTTTAGCTCCATTTCTCTTACTAATGGTCATATTTGATGCATGCTTTCAAGTGGTCGTTTATATCTTCAAATTCCCTTGAAAATTATTCATATCCTTTGGCTACTTATCTACTGAGGGGACAAAGCATCTTCCTGCACAGAGAATACATTAGCACACATTTGCTGAATGAATTCACTGTAGGGTTTTTTAAGGGCAACACTAATTTCCTCTCCCACAAAGTTTCTGTGGCTTCTCTACCCATGGTACATTTTCTACCAAAAAAACCCCTAAGTATGTGATCTCCTTTTTCTCACATGGACAGTTTGGCTAGAATTGATTCAGAGGAAATTTCATCTTTCTGATGTCATGACTCAGGGAACCAGAACCAAGGAATAGAGAAACCAAATTCTCAGACATGTTTTTCTCCTGGAGAAGGTTCATACCTCTCATGAAGCTGGAGGGAGGGAATATACAAATATAATGTGAATTGTGTGACTGACCTTGTCTACAAAAAGTACAACCTATTAGGCAGGTAGAGTTGGGCCTGTCATTATGTCATCTTTATGAGGGGCTAATGGTGGGGCATAGCAATCACATCCTGTAAATGTTTGCCCCCTGCACCAGGGTCACCTAAATGGTTGACACTCTTTGACAAAACCCCTACTTCTATGAATCTGTATTGTATTTGGTTAAATTACTAAGCTGTTGTTTTGTTTGTTGTTCTATGTTATTGAGTCAAGAAAAGATGTGCTTGACTCTGTGTTTTATAATTCAGAATGCACTGCCACATTATGAGAAGCAAAGGGCAGCCTGAAGGAAGTTGGGCAAAGTAAGAGGAATTCTAAGGGAGGAGGTGGAGCTAGGAGAGGGATGTAGTTCTAACTGGGCCTGTGAGAGACACATGTCAGCAGCAGAGTCAGAGTGGGTGTAAGTTTATCCTCAGTGGGGATGAGTAGGGAGGAAGGTGGCAAAGGGGAGGAGGAATGTTTTGGACGTGTGGGGAAAGAAATTCCCATCACCAATGTAAATTGACAATTCACCTGTAACTTAAAGTCATAAAGAGTTGTGTGCTGAATTACCCATGGTCACCTAGCTCATATATGTGTCTGAGATAGAACACGAACCCAGGTCTTCCTGACTCTGAAACCACTATTTATTACACCATCCTGCTTTTTAATATAAGAAACTAGTTGATTTAGATGGAAGACACCGCTAAAGTAATTCAGTTCCTGGAAGGACAGCTAATACTGAAGAAAGTATTTTAATTGAAGGTGTTGAAAGTAAGGGAGATGGAAAAGTCTGAGATGGGCCTCAAGGAAAAGATAGCAATTTCAGTAAGAGTAAGAACAGCTCTGGGCTACAGCCTAATTTTAAGAGAAAATGAATCTCTCTAATCTTAAGGTGTTGTTGTTCAGTTATTCAGTTGTGTCCAACTCTTCATAACCCCGGGGACCATCGCACACTAGGACCTTCTATTCTCCACTATCTCCTGACGTCTGTTCAAGCTCATGTTCGTTGCTTCTATGATACTCTGTCCACCCCATCCTCTGCCGTCCCCTTCTTCTTTTGCCTTTGATCTTTCCCAACATCGGGTCTTTTCCAATGAGTCCTGTCTTCTCATTATGTGGCCCAATATGGCTTCAGTTTCAGTATTTGTGCTTCCAATGAATAGGCAGAGTTAATTTCTTTAAGTATTGATTTGATCTCCTTGATGTCCAAGGAACTCTCAAAAGTCTTCTCTTAAATTTAAGGTAATTAAACCTTAAAAAAGAAATCACAGGATCATAGGTTTGGGGATATCATCCTAGTTCAGTTCTACAGATGAGGAAACTAAGGCCCCAAGAGGTTAAATTACTTACCCAAGGTCACACAGTGAGGAAGTAGCAGATTCAGAATTTAAATCTAGCCCTCTTTCCATTATATTATGTTGCTAGCATGTATATTTTGACTAGGGATACCAAAGATGGCAATTTAAGAGTGGTAGAGAAGACACACCAAAAATTCAAAAGTAAATGTTAAAAATTATAATAATCTTTATAAAAAGTAGGATTTGAATGAAGAGATAATGAGAAGACACCCACAACCTGCTCCTTTGTGGAGGTAGGAGGTCCAAAGGTTACATATTCCATATGTTTTTGGACTTTTTCTGACTATTTTAGATTTCTTTTTTATCGATAAGTTTTATCGATCAGTATTTTTTCTTCTTAAAAAATACTGTTTGTCATATGGGATGGCTCTCTGGGAGGGGAAGGTTTATATGGGATACTATGGTGATGTAAGAAACAGAAAACAGCGATAAAATTTTATAAAAAACAAAGTGGCCTAGAAGGAAAATTGTAATAATCTCAAAATAAGAATAACTCTACATTAGAGGCTAGTTGTAAGCAAACAGAATTTGTGTTAAGTAGCTGAGTTAAACTTATCCCTCAGTTTAAAGGGAAACAGAATGGGAATGAATATAAATATTCCTCTGGAGTCTGTCAAAAGGTGAGGAAAAGGTGACATGAAGTCCACAACTAAGTGACACCAGCTGACAGAGCTATGAATTTAAAAGACAGAGTATAAGAAATTTACTTAAACCATATGTGAACATAATTATTAAATAAATAGTTATAACATTAGAAATTCTGTGATATGTTCTCTTGCATATTTCATATTTATTTGCTAACTGGCACCAATGGTTTGGCAGCTCATTGGCGCAGTGGATAGAGAGCCGGGCCTGGCTTTAAGAAGACTCATCTTCCTGAGTTCAAATCTGGCTCAGACACTTACCAGCTGTGTGACCCTGAGCAAGTCACTTAACACTGTTTGCCTCAGTTTCCTCATCTGTAAAATGAGGTGGAGAGGGACATGGCAAACCACTCTAATATCTTGGCCAAGAAAACTCCAAATAGGGTCATGAAGAGTCAGATGCTACTGAAAAGAGACCAAACAACAAACCGGGGGTTTAAAAACATGTTTAAAAACGTTTATTTGTACATACTCTGTCTCCATTTTGTAGTACATTGCTGTGCATCTCCCAGAAATTTTCCGTACTTGCTAGTCCTTGGTAGCAGTGATCCGATGAGATACAGTGACATTTCTAGCTGGGATTTTAAAAGGTCTTGTTAAGCATTACTACAAAAACAAATGCGACCCTAAAAACAACAGATAAAATGGCAAGCATCAGCTTGTTCAGTTCTGGCTCCTTCTGCAATGTTCCTGTGATGCAAAGGAGCCAAAGGAGGAGGAATTGCAGAGAAAGGGTCTATGGTTTATAAACTAGAACCCACCTAAAAAGTCAGTAACACAGCTTGTACTCTTGGCAGTGTTAAGTTCTAACACAAAGTCGGCATGTGTGCTATAGCCAAGTAGTTTTGCTACTTTGGCTCGGAGTGGAAGTAGCTGTTGCAGAATTTTGGTGTTTTCCTGAAAACAAAAAACAAAAAACAAAAAAAAAAGATGGTCATTAGTAGGAGACAGACTTTGAAAAGGGAAGAATTCTTTTTATTATATTTTGCAGCAGTAAGGAGTGACAAACATTAGGAGGCTTTTTAGTAAACGGTTCATTGAGAACACTATAATTTAAATAACATTTATGAGGTAGAGGGGTAGGGTTGGAAAGATATTGGAATTTCTCAGAGATGAACTATGATCCTATGAGGGAAAAATATATTTCCTTTCTGGATGTGTTTTCTGTTTTATAAGTATAGCTACGTCATCAACAGCAATCACATCCCAGATGCCAGTTTTGGAATTTCTACAATTTAAGCACTTATAATATGGCTGCATGAAATAGGAACCATGAACAAGGGTTGAAAGTACATGATTTCCAACTACTTTTAATTCTTTTACTTAATTTTTTTCTTTGAAGTTAATACCTTTAGGATCATTTGTATGTAGTCAAAAAGTTCACAAGGAACATTTTCTGAATCACTTGAAAATAAACACAAAAAAACTAGATTATTTTCAAAGACTGTCATAATCCAGACTTTCTAGTGCTTTGGACTAGCATCCTTCTCCCCTTTCACCTGAAGGAGTAAGGTTTAGTAGGAGGTTGAGACTTGAATTTTCTGGATAGCTGAATAGAAGTATGCCTTGATTTAAGTAATGCTAAATTTTCAGCTGTTAAAATTACAATCTTGCTTTTCATTTGAAGCCATAAACTGGTAAATAACATGGAGTCAAACTCTGAATTCTAATTTTGACCCCATTATTCAATTGCTATGACCATGGGCAGATAATTTCATCTTTTTGCATTTAAATTGGAAAATATGAATAATAATACAAAGCCCAACTTATATGACTGTTTAAGGTTTAACAAATGAATGCCTTCAAGGTATTTTTAGAGCTGTTTACATTTTCAAAGTGTTAAACGTTATCATTATGGAACAAATATTAAATCATGTCAGAGACCATTTTATAATATCTCAGTGTCAGCATGCACAATTATTGCTGTCATAAACAGCCTGCCTTTTTAGCAAGATAATGATGCTACAACAATAATTTATACTTACATAGCATCTTCCAAAGAGCTCAAAGTGCATGTACAAATTCCATACTATTTACTGAGATTTATAAGAATGCAAAGACAGATGACAGCATCTCCATTTTTTTTTTTTGATTCAGAAAATTTAGGCACAGAAAGATGACATAATTAGCTATATAATCATAAAATGATTTGTGGTAGAAGTAGAAATTCTGATCTCAGTCCAAATCCAGTGCTCTGTCCAATCCATCAAGCTCAGAAATGACAATTTTGATAATGTTCATTCAACTTGTATTCATTTTCTGGCAGTTAATAATTCTTTCATAACAAACCTGAAGTGCTAAAGTTTGTAATTATCCCATGAATAATGGAAAGAATCTCTCCGAGTGAACAAATAACAAAAGATGAATACCAGTGATGGTCAGGGGTAACAGCTGTATTGGAGGCATCTTATGATGTGAAATGACAAAGGAGAAGTAGATAGAATAATGGAGTCAGAGGATCTATGTTCAAATCCTGACTGCCATTTGTTACCTGTGTATCTCTGAGAAAGTACTTCAAATCGCTGGGTTTCTATTTTCTCCAGTGTAAAATGATGGGGTTGGACCATAAATGGTATTGAAAATCCCTTTCATCTCTAAATTTATGATCCTAAGATAGCTGGTGGTTCATTATCAAGGCTGATGGACAATAGATGGACTACCCAACTAAAAGAATAGTTTTATAAATGAGAGGAGGATCATGAGAGGCTGATTAGTGTAGCAAATACTACACATGATGAAAAAACACATGGGAATTTAGATAAAGATTGGAATGGATACCCTGAGATTTTTAATTCTAGTTTTGAGTAGACTTATTTTCACAACAAGATGATCTATGACAGATTTCAACAGAGGATTAATGAATATTTGTAAATAATCTTTCTCTAACATGTTACTTGGTCACTTAACACCTTACTGCTTGTCAACATGTTGCCCTACAGATTTTGTGGAAACAAGTGCTTTCTACTAAGCCTATTCCAACAGGTGAGTTGTTCAGTCATTTTCTTTAAAAGTAAAAAATAAGAAAATACTAAAGTAAAGGCTTTATGGGATAGGGATGTGGTACACTAATGTGAGTGCTTCCTAAGAGGCACAAATCAATTATAGGTAGAGAAACAACCTTGGGGAAAAGCTAAGCACTTTTTGGTCCAAATTTTTAAGCTTGTTTGTCATTCAGTTGTTTATGGGCCTTTGTTTATTTGTTCATTGTTCAGTTGTTTATGAGTCAGTGTATGAGTCTTTGTGACCCCATTTGGGGTTTTCTTGGCAATGATGTTGGAGTGGTTTATCATTCTTTCTCCAGCTCATTTTACAGATGAGGAAACTGAGGCAAACAGGGCCAATTACATGCCCAGGGTCACAAAGCTAGTAAGTATCTGAGGCTGGATTTGAACTCAGGGCTTCTTGACTTCAGGCCCAACACTCTATTCAATGCACCACCTAACTACTTTCTTCTTTAATTAAAAAAAAATAAAAAAAATTTTTCCCTATAATTTTTAAGCTGAAACCTACATAAATCAGCCTCAGTTATGAATATAAACTTTCTATAATCTTAATCTCACTTGTAAGATTTTGATAGCTGTTATTGAAGTGAAATAAATGGATGACATGATTAACAATAATAACAGTAACAACACATGATATTTAATGGAGTTTTAAAGTTTACAAAGCAGCTAATATGTGTTATAGGTGTAATTTAAATCCAGATTTTCCTGACTCTACATCTACTTCTTTATTCACTCTGCCATGCTTCCTCTGAATGTGAGTAATACCATGATGGTCAGTGAAAATGGATATGGTGCTCAGAATCTGCACTTGGCTGACAATGGATGACACCAAGCCCTAACAAGTGACACTGCCAACTATTTCAGGAGTACCCTAACTCCTTTCTTTTAGAAAAGCTCAAAAGGAACTCCAGCAACACATACCATTTATAAGCCGTATGGCAGTTTCAGGTAATACAATGGGATTATAGGGAGTCCTGTTGGCCCAAAGGAACAGAACCTGTGAGTACACAGTCAAGCTACATAAGCAGACAGCATATAAAATGGAAAATCAATAAGAAGGATGAGTTTACATTCTTCATAGATATCACTATGCTGTGCAAACAACTGTATATCCTTTTATGTCTGAGTACTCACTTTCTCTGATATCAAGTTGGCAACATTTTTATTCATGTTTTTGCAACATAATACTTAGAAGGTATGCTTAAAGTTGCCTTAGCTATTTAACTTCTTTCATATATGTTTAGTTTAGCTAGCTGATTAGGGGAGAAGTCATTTATGCTGAAACTATAGTCACTGTAATATAGGGGTTCCTGACCTAAGGTCCATAGATTGTGAATTTGGATGAGATAAAAATTACATCTTTATTTCCACTAATCTCTCACTGAAATTTAGCATTTTCTTCCATTATAAATGTAGGCAACAAACAGCAATAGTATTATCAGTATCTGTGACTTTGTCATCAATAGAAATCACAGACATTTTCATATTCCATTACAGTTGTTGAAGATATCTTGAAATATCATATCTGTTCATCACTACTTTGAAATGACTGGTTATTAGACTTGCCTCTAGATCACACATGATTGCAGTCTTTTTGTGTACAGACTATTTCAATATAATTGGTTTCCTCTGTAATCTTAGATATTTTATTTTTTGCATTTAAAAATATTATTCTGCGAAGGGGTCCATAGGATTCACCAACCTGCCAAAAGGGTTCATAATATAAAGAAGGTTAAGAATTCCTTCTCAAATACCACCGTGGTTCCTAAAAAGGGGTTACTAGGACCTGACATGGAGCTAGATATAATTTGTGCTCAGAGCTTTTTTCCCTTCTCCCAAAGATCAGGTGGGAGTTAGTTCCAGGGAACATTGGTAAGAATCAATGTGAAGGGGGTAGTTTACAGTTGCCTGCCTTTCCCTTCATCTTGAAGATGAATCAAAGGTAATCCTGGAGATGAAACTGGGAGAAAGATAAACACTTGGAAGAACCTTGGTTGGCATCATTTTTGGGGTGGGGGGTGGGAGGTGGACAATGATGACTGCTTTTTACTTGGGCCTGACTCTCACTGGGACTTGGTCTTCCTATCCCCTTCTTCTGAGTTATCCCATACACTCTCCTGCTCCCTATAACCTTCTGATTTATAATGCTAGATTTCTTTCCAGAATCTATGATTTAATCATTGTAGGGAGTCCTGGTGAGGAAATTCACTCCATTAATGCAGACTTACGGGCTTCCAGAGTTGCCCAAGGCACTAAAAAGGTTAAATGACTTGTTCAGGATGACAGATCCAGTACATGGCAGAGAGGAAACTTGAATCTGGGGCCTTCTGGCCCCAAAGTCATCCCACTATCCATCATGCTACACTGCCTCTCATAGAAAATGCTGGAAACATTAAGGTTAAAGTTTTTGGTAAAGTTGCTTGAACTCTTTTTGGAAGAATAATAATATTATGTAAACAAAACAGAGAAATAGATGCTTATTCAGATGAATTAACTAGATTTTTAGAATAGAAACAAGTCTTCCAATGCTGTGTATTATACTAACATTTCCAGTTAACATTATCTGTACTTTGGGCTTAAATAGAAGTGAATTTGATCTGACTGACAAATATGCCCACTGCTTCCCAGAACTTCAGGCTGAAATTCATCATGAAATATGAAATGACTGGTCATTGCTACTTATCAAGATGATTAAAACCCAGCATATTTCAAAGGAACCATCTATAAACAAAGTTTCATGTTCAGAATGCCTGCATATAATTTTTAAAGCTAAAATGACACCACCTCCCTTCAAACACAGATTAGAGTGATTTTTGCAATGGAAAGCATTTTCTAAATATAGACTCAAAAAAACAACCTTTTGTATCCTTGGTATAAAAGTTTCTTTAGATATGTAAGTTATAAAAATTGCCAGTCCAGGGTACATTTGATCAACTTGGCAATTATTACTGAAAACTAGTTTAATAAGGTTGATAAAGAAAGCAAGACAGATGTTCTATTCAGGAGAAAATAGATCCAAATAATTATATGGTAGATTTTAGGACAGACTTAGAAGTCTGACCTTCTAAAGGTACAGCTTGTTCCATTCACATCAAAGAAAACATAGATTGAAGCAACATAAATAATAAAATGTCCCAGAATGCTAACACCAACTAAGTTTTCTTCTCTTTCTGCCTCTGTCTCTTATTCCTCTATTTCCCATCTCACCCCCTATCTCTTTCTCAGTTTCTTCTCTATGGAGGTGTCATCAGGAAAGAAAATAGCCAAAGGTGAGTTAGCTAATTGGAAAAAAAGGGCATGAATAATGCCCAAACTGGACAATATGTCTATAAAGTTTATTGCAATTCTGGTCAAGAAAGCAACTCCCTTTCCTTATCATTTGTAATGTGAACAGGATAAATGCAAACATTTATCATACCTCTTTGCATCTTGTATTAAAAGCCATTTCCATCTTCCTTCTGGTTTCTGGGATACAACATTTTTTCATGACAGGAAAGTAGTGGGGATATTTTAAGGTAACTTTATATTTGTTATCTTCTATTTTTTCTAAACTGTCAAGAAAATCATCAGGAAGAGTTTCTGCAAAACACAATTTTTTCATATGTTAACTTCATCCCTCAAAGATGAGTTTACCATGGAATTGGCAGGGAGTCTGTAAGAATCTCCAGGTATTTGTTAATTAAGTGAATACGAAAATAAGAACAAGGATGATTCCCACAATATCCTAAGGGTAAGTTATTCTAACTATGAATATGCTTAAGTGCTCTTATAGTCACTGTGCTGCTAGATAATCAAACAAAAAAAGATACAGAACAGAACAAGAGGAAAAATGCTTAAGTTGTCTCTTAGAATAGAGACAGGATGCTTGCTAAATACCAGAAAGAGTATCACCCAAGGAGGTTGGCAACTCTCCTTTGGAAATTCTCATTTGCCTGCAATTAGGGAGGGTTTGACCATGGCCCAGTCTAAAGAAAGGGGAACAGGATGAATGACTTCTTTTTTAAAAATTGTAATTAAGACTTATTTTTTCAATTTTCAAGCATTTATTTTTTTTCTTTCTATCTCCTTCTCCATTGAAAAAACAAAACAACAATAACAACAACAAAATCCTTGTAACAAAAAAGCATAGTCAAGCAAAACAAATTCCCATATTGGTCATACCCAAAAATGTATGTCTCATTATGCAGGTTTAGGCCACAATTACTGTCAAGAGGTAGGAACCACGTTTTACCATTGGTCTTTTGGAATTAGTGTTGATCACTGCAATGATCAGAATTCTGAAGTCTTTCAAGATTGCAATGAATGACTTCTTAAGGGTTCTCTCATCCCTTACTTTTTAATTTCAATATGGAAAATAAAGTAAACTGAGACACAGTGAGGTGAAGAACTTGCCCATATGATCATATACCATTTAATTTATACCACAATACCATATAGTCATTTAATCTATGAAATATCAATATTTACCAAGTTCTTCCTTAGAAAATGTAAGAAAGGTATTATCTTCATTGAGGTTTTTATTGAAGTCTATACATAATTCACTCATTCTTTTCTTCATTGCTTTGATTTCCTGGATTGAGGATAAAGATTAATAAGAGTGAAAAGTCAGAATAAACTTTTAATATATTTTTAAAATTTATTCAAATTTTTATTTTTAAATTTATTTAAAACACTTTAATTTTAATTTATTTTCAGTAAAAATAAATGTTAAGTATAAAAAAAGAATAGTTTTAATACCCAACTTACACAAAATGCTTTCTTAGTGACGTATAACAGATCCTTTACCATTCTTCCATGTATATGTGTATATACATATATTCACACATACATATATACACATAAACACACATATGAATAAAATAACAGATCTGTATTTATGTGTATATGCACACATCTGCATCAGTGGTGGGGGAACTTTCTATACGATCAGTTACTCACACTAATGAAATCACAGGTCTGGACCCCAACTTTCCCCCAAAATGTTCCTTTTTTCCCCCATATATAAGAAATTTAAATTTAATTTTAAATTTAAAGTTAAATTAATTTAAATCCACTGGCACGTTTGATATTTTTGTCTTGCAGAAAATTGGTTGTTGGTCCCCAAAGTTTGGAGAGAGATGAACAAAAGAAAAGAAGGGTAAGGGAGAAGGAAGTCTGGACCCTGTACCTGAAAAATTAAGATTTATAAGCAACAAAAGGAACCCTTACTCAAGAAGTATTTGTAGTTTCTTTAAAAAGATGGCAGCAGTGCCAATGGCAATTCCGAGGATGTTAAAAATGTACCATGAATTGGGAAATAACAAATGAAAACTGTCAGTAGGGCAAAAGCTGAGTGATTTAGCATATGACACATTTGAAAGCTCCAGAAGCTAGTATTTTGTATCCTCCAGTACGAATTTTCAATACAGTAACCAACACCAAGTGTAGAAGCTAACTAGTTAGCATTTATTTCTCACTTTAAGATTTGCAAAGCCCTGTATGTGTTATTTCATTTGATCCTCACAACCCTGAGAGGTAGAGGTGCTATTATTTTCCTCATTTTACGATATGGGAACTGAAACTGATAGAGGGAGGTCAAGTGACTTGCTCAGAGTCACACAACTCGTAAGGGTCTGGATTTGAACTCTGGTCTGGTTGTTCAGTAGTTTTTCAGTCATGTCTGATTCTTTGTGACTTCAATTTTGCTGTTTCATTGGCAAAAATATTGCAGTGGTTTGTCATTTCCTTCTCTAGCTCATTTTACACAGGAAGAACTGAGGTAAACCAGGTTAAGAGACTTGCCCAAGGTCATAAGGCTAGTAAGTGTCTGAGGCCAGATTTGAACTCAAGAAGATGAATCTTCCTGACTCTAGGCCTAGCACTCTATCCACTGTGTCTTGCAACTGCCCTCCATCTACTGTGCCACTAGCTGCCACTAGGAGTCGACATTTGGAGTAATGAGGCAAAGGACGACCAGGCCAGAGCTGTGAAATTCAAAAGGTAAAGGACCCCTCTTGGCCTCATCCTGACTCAGAATACCACAAATCAACATTATCTATGTTGTATTGTATTTTTGTTTATGGTTTTAAAACATTTCCCAATTACATGTTAATCTAGTTCAGGCTGTACTGCATGCCATGGGTTTCACATCTTTGCACTAGAGGACTGGTTTTTTGGTTCCTAATTTTTGGAGTAACTTTTATGGACAAGAATGATTTAAGGTCTTAGCAAGGCCAGCTGGGAGGCAACAAAGGCACAGGCAAAAAAAAAAAAGATTCTGATTCCTCACTGGCCACTTTCTCCCTTTGTGTCTGATAACCAAACTTAAAGAAATTAATCAGATTTTGAGAATGAGCAGGCAAATATTAGCACTTGTGAGAGTCTAGGAGTCTAGTAAGGAGCAGGGCCAAGTCAGAGAAGGAAGCTTCTTATAAGTTCTACTAAAAATAAATGGACTAGCATATATCCATTTTTCTGTAAACTCACCATCCTCAGCATGACTGATGAATGATAGTTACCAAAACTTGTTTCAATTGGCTTTGACTTTTTTTTTAATTTGAATTTCTGTTTTTTTCTGCTAAGAAGAAAACTGAGATTCACTGATTGGGCTTCTTTCCCTGGAAAGAAGTGCGTGAAGGCAAAACTAACCTGCAGGTCTAGGAAATTAATTACTAGGATCAGAAAGGTGTGCTATAGCTTGCTTATCTTCAGCACTTCTCTAGTTGGGATCTAAGAGGAAGGGAGGACAAGGAGACACCCAGGTTCTTTCTGACCCCCCTCCTCAAAATCTAAATCTGTCTAAGAAACTCTAGCAGAGGGGGGAGTTGTGGAGGCTTATTTCATGACTTAATTCCAAATTCATGTGCAAGGACCTCAGTAACCTTCTTTGACCTGTTGACCAGGAAGGCTCAAATCCCCTGGGTTACCCTGTCAAAGTTTGGCTTGCAATAACTCTTTCTTCCTTTGGAGAGTTTGAAATTCAAATACCTGCCCAATCCTAGGTCTTTGCTCCTGCTCCCCACCCCAACAACATGAATCACAGCAGCAATCCTATACCTGCACACCAGATCCAGGATTCTTCCTTACTCTTCCCAATGCCTAGTCTGTTTGATTGCTGTAAGAACCCTTTCAAAACCCACTAGACTTTATACTTGTTTTGGTGCCTTCTTTAACTTCCACATTTAGGTCAATGGCATCAACAGCACCCAATCACACATGACTGACACCCTGATATCATCTTAACAATTTAATCTCCCTGTATCCCTCCACCCAAATGGTTACCATGCAAGTTATATTGATTCATTCTCCACAATATCTCTTCCCTCTGTTCCCTTTTCTTTATTTCTACTGCCACTAGTGGAAGGCCACCAGGCTTCAGTAGTACCTCTGTTCTTTATTGCATCCTCCTCCTAAGTAGTCAGCTCACTACCAATTTCTTCCTTTAGTGGACAGAGCACAAGGCCCAGAGTCAGGAAAATCTGAGTTCAAATCTGACCTTAGACACTTAGCAGCTGTGTGACCCTAGGCAAATCTGTCTACCTTAATTTCCTCATCTGTCAAATAGGAATAATAATAGCATCTACCTCACAGGGTTATTGCAGGAATCAAGTGAGATAATATTTGTAAAGTACTTGGCACAAGGTAGGCACTTAAATGCTCATTCTCTTCCTCCCTCCTTCTCCAATTCATCCTGAGCCCTGCTGCCAGATTAATCTATCTCATATACAAAACTGATGAGGTAATTCCTCTACTCAGAATACTTTGACAGCTCCCTATTGCCTATCATATAAAGTCTAAACTGGCATCAATGTTCCTCTGCAGATTTGTATCTCTTCTGCCCTTAAGAGTGTTATCTTATCAATCTCCCTGCTAGACTATAAGCTTCATGAGGCCAGAGGCCACATCTTAAATCTGTATGAATCTTTCACAGGATTTTGCCAATAGGAGGTAGTTAATAAATATTTTGATGAATGAAGGAATATAAGAGTTAAAATATAGGGACAACACAGTGAAAAAGCTTGGGAACCAATGCTCAGAAGCTAATCTCCCCCTCCTGGAAGGGGCAGAGTTTCTTCTAGGACTCTCTCTCTTTCTCTCTCTTCCTCCACACACATACACAGAACACACACACACATATATGTATGTAGATAGATAGACAGATAGACATTTAAGATGTTATCCATTACAAAGTAGCCTCATTTAATGACTCAGTGAATTATCATTGGGAGGAGAGGGTTAGAGGGGAAAAAAATACAGAAGAATAAGTTATGATCCCTGCCTTGGGGATAGAATCTTGATGGGGAGGTGGAAAAATGGAGGATAATTACCTAATAGCAACAAATTAAGTCACAATTATATGTTAATGACCTTAAATTCAATAAGACTTCCCAAAAGAGAAAGCAAGAAAGTGAGTGTATAGTCCTATAGTTTCAAATAAGGACCTTAGTGAACAGATGGCCTAGCGTCTAGAATCCCCAAACAATCTGAACATGCCCTTGCTTCCCCAATGTGGTAGAAGGAAGAGAAAACCAAACTCACATTTTGTACTTCTTCTGGAAGATGAAGGCCATTTCTCTTTCCCATTTTAATGGACTTTTCTAAGTACCGCTTGGCTTCAGGCTTTATTGTTTCAAGATCACAGGTTTCCTGAAATTAAAGCATGAGATAAACCATTTCTTACACAAGGTTATAGTGGTACATTATACCTTTTTTTGTGAAGTCTGGGTAAATCTGTTCATTAGCTCTACTGGACTATGTAACATGTAAATAACTAGGAGCAGGTCACATCTGAAAACCTAATTTGAAAGTTCACCATGCCAGAGTGTTTTCCTAGGACAGAGGAAGCCACCCAGAATTTCCTTGTCTTTCATTCAAATGCAGAGGGAATGCCCGCTACACATGGATAGTAGAAGAACTCTCATACATTCTTGGACTGTCTTAGAGCATTCCCTTCTTGTTGTGGAATATTTTTTTTTCTTGGGCCACATTCTTCCTCACAAATCATCTGGATTTCATTTTCTGTCATTTCACATCAGTCATGTTGGTTTGCTTAGGTGGTAGGAATAGAAAGTGTGGGAATATAATACACAAATGGATGGTAGTCAGACACTGCCAACATACCATCCAAGGACATCTGGACCAAAAGCTAGAGAAAGTGTTGTAAAACTTTAATAAATGTCCTACTTGTCACATCACAATTGAGAGCAAGGGCATACAGCAAACAGTGAATACAGAAATATCTGGGGAAAATGAGTCAGCATCACATAAAAAGGTATAAAGTTGGGTAGTTAACACAGGTCTACATGCAGAAACATGAGCAATGTTCACTTAAAAGAATGATATGCCCCTGAGGAGAATGGAAAACATCTTCAATAGCTTCATGGCAACACGCTGTGTGACAGAAAAGCAGGTAGCCAAGGAGAAGGTCACCCTGCCCTTCTGGGATAAAATGGCAAATGTGTGGTCACTGAGAGGAAGGGGAGGGCAAAACCCAGAGGGAGTCAGCAGCTCTAAGTCCTTCTCTATAGGCTTGAGAGCTAATAGCTGAAACTTGTTAGCTGGTACTTAGTGACCTCCCAACTTTCAGATATCTCGGGTCAAAGAAAAGTTTGAAATTAATTTCCTTCCCTTGGGTTTTATACCTTGTCAGTCAATGCAATTTTTAAAAAGCCAGGGATCATATTTAACTCTGGATTCTGATCAACAGTAGATTGTTTTCCCTTGTCCATGTTGACCTTTGATATAGGTTAGTGATAATTCTGGGATTCCCTAAATTTTGCTGTAGCAATGAAAATGCAGTGGGTTGACTATGTATTGTTTATCAAAAAACAAAACAAAACAAAAGAGCAAATTTTACTTTGTTCCCCAACATCTGCCTGAAAGTTAATTTACGTTGAACCCTAGAACCCCCTGTGACAGTGCTTTGCTCGTAGTTTTCTCTGGTACTAGCCTCACTGGGGATAGTGAAGAGTTGTTTCCCTTTGCCAGAATGATAAGGCTATGTGTGCTTGGAGACTAAGTTAGCCTTGTTGTATAGGGAATGAGCCTTGGGGACCAAGCACAGGACAGTCAACTGACTAGGAGCTCAGTTTTCTAATAATAGTTTAACACTCAACTACATCATGACCTAATCCAAACTATTACACTGACAGATAGATACAGAAAGCAAGGATACATATGTTGAGAAAATTGGATCTGAATTAAGCCCTAATTAAAACTAGATGAATTAATTTGAGCCAAATTTTTAAAAAAGTATTATTTTAAGACAAAACCACACTAAAAAAAAAACAACAACTTGGCTCAATTAATTACATGCATTGTTGTTGTCCTGTTTGCCTCAGTTCCTCATCTACAGAATGAGCTGGAGAAGGAAATGGCAAACCACTGCAGTATCTTTGCCAAGAAAACCCCAAATGGGATCACAGAGAGTCAGACATGACTGAAATGACTGAAAAACAACAACAAAAGTGGAAGCATCTGAGGGATGCTTTCCTGCTTAGGAGGAAAAGAAAGAGCTCATTCCACCTTCTCACTTGCTTTTCAAGGAGGTGAACAACAGACTCTGTGCTGCTCTCACCTCCTGGCCTTTTGAATTAAGAACCTCTTCTTTGACAGGAAGTTGGTAGTGGCATACATTATTATTAATTTTCTCAATGGAAAATCTCACATTGATACTTGCAGGGGTAACATTCAGGTTTTTTGTAATTTCCTCTGACTGTCAGGGGCTTTTATACACACACATTTGCATGTATGTATTTGTGTAGATACCCCTATTTATACTTCATTACTTACAGGCCTAGTACAGTGTCTGGTACATAGTAAGAGTTTAATGGAAACTAGTTGAGTGATAGACTGACCCAAGTATCCTGGCTTCAAGGGTGTGGGCACCCATTCCCTCACCTGAAGCAAAATGGACTCATCCCTCTATAACTTTTTGGATGACCTGCAGTAGTTGGTATGGCTGAAAAAAATTCATCATTGTCCTGTAGGCAACCTAGTCATGAGGTTATTTGACCTTTAGCAGGTTGGTCATCAAGTGACAAACACCCAGTCTATCACCAGGCCTATAATGGAAGTCTTTTTAGCTTGATAGGATCTGTATATAAATATACATATGCTATCTTATCTTCCTCATTCTCATCCCCCTTAACCCTCTCAGCTCAAAATTCCAACCAAACATCACCCAACCCTTCCACTGTGCCCTCTGGAATGTCTGTTCCATACAAAACAAACTTATCTTCATCCTTAATCTTTTCCTCTCCCACTCCTTCCATATACTAGCTATTACTGAAACTCTTCTCCACCCCCTCACTCCCCACCCACCCCCTTCCCCAATGACACAGCATTCCTGGCAACCCTTTCCAGTACTGGCTGTACCTTCACTCATTCTCCTAGGCTTACTGGTCAAGGCAAGGGAGTTGAAATACTCCTTGTTTCTCATAGCTACTTCCAGGTTCTCCTCCTATCTCCATCACTCTTTCTTTGAGGTTCATGCTATTCATATCTACCACCCAATTAAAAGTCTAGTAGTTGTTATCTACAGTCTCTCAGGTCACTCTTTTTCCTTCCTGTCAGTTTGGTACATGATTCACAATTTTTCCCTCCTCCTCAACTCCTGCCCTCATACTAGGAAACTTCAACATGTTGGCTCTCCCTCAAATACCTTCACCACTCAGTTCCTCAATCTAGTGACTTCCCATGAACTATATTCCATTTCAGCCACACACAAAGATGATTATACCCTTGATCTTGCCATTATTCACAAATGTACAGCCTCCATGTTTAAGAATTCTGAAATACACTCATTCAATCATAACCTCTGGGCTTTTCATTTCTCTTGCTTTACCTTATAAAACCTCACTCTGCATCCCCCTCTGACTTCCAAGCCTTTGAACCCTCAATTCTCTCCTAAAACCTCTGTACTAGCCATTCTCTCCTATTTTCCCAATATTGACCCCTTGGTAAACCAATTCAACTCTGCACTGTCCTCTGTTGAAATCCTAGTCCCCTTATCATGTCACTAATTACACCCTGCCAAGTCTCTGCTTTGGATCACTCCCACCATTTGCTGCCCTTACTCCTCCACACGTGCTGCTGAATTAAGGTGGAGAAAATCACACAACCATTTTAACTGGGTCCACTACAAATTTATGATACATAACCTCAACGGGGCTCTCACTGATGATAGACAATCGTACTAAACCTCCCTGATCAGCTCACTATCTTGCTTTCCACGGTGGCTTTTCCACACACTTTCATCCCTCCTCAAACTTCCCATGGTTCACCCTTTTTCCACCCTCTCAGTTGAGATCTTTGTCTCATAATTGACATAAAAAATTGAGGCCATTCACCATGAGATCCCTCTTCTCTCCTCTTCCTTATCTCCTCATTACTCTTTTGTCACTTTCTCCTTTACCCCTGTTTCACATGATGAAATGACCTTACTTCTTACCAAGGCTAGACCTTCTACCTGACCAAGCAATCCCATCCCCTTCTGTCAACTCTAACAGACGAACCCCTTTGTCATCCCTACTCTATCATTTATTTTCTTTTTTTCCCTATAATTTATTTTCAATCTATCCCTGTCTGCTGGCTCATTGACCATGTACAAACATGCCCACATCTTTTTCATCCTGAAAAAATCCTCACCTGATCCTTCCTAAACCCGTTATTGTCCTTTACCTCTTCTGCCCTTGGTGGCTAAACACCTTGAAAAGGCCACATACGATAGGCGCCTTCACTTTCCTCTCACTCATTACTTAATCCCTTATAATCCGGTTTCTGACCTTATCATTCCAGCAAAACTACTCCCTCTAGAGTTACCAATGATGTCTCAATTGCCAAATCTAACGGCCTTTTCTTTATCCTCATTATCCTTGGCCTCTCCGTAGCCTTTGATACCTTTGCTCACTCTCCTTGATACTCTCTTCTCTCTAGGTTTGCAGGACACCTGTCCCTGCTGGTTCTCCTCTAACTATTGAACTGTTCCTTCTCTGTCTTCTCTACTGGATCCTCATAACCATAGGTGTCCCTCATCATTCTGTCCTGGGCCCCTCTCCTCCCTCCATACTACTTCACTTGGCGAACTCATCAGCTCCTGTGGATTTAAATACTATCCTGCCCAAAACTTTATGTTGACCTTCAATCTCGAATATCCACCTGCCTTTCAGAGACATCTCAAAGTGTATGTCCAATAGTCATCTTAAACTAAGCATGTCCAAAACAGAACTCATTATCTTTCCCCTTAAACCTTTCTCCCTTCCTATCTTACTTATTACTATAGAAGGTAACACCATCATCCCAGTCCGTCAGGCTTACAATCAGCTCCTCATACTCTCTCATCCCCCACATCCAAGCTGTTGCCAAGTCCTGTTGATGTCACCTCTGCAACATCTCTATTATATGCTCCCGGCTCTCATTGGACATTGCCACCACTCTGGCGCAGGACCTCATTACCTATTACAATAACCTGTTGGTGGATCTGCCTGCTTCAAGTTTTTCCCCATTCCAATCTATCATCCATTTAGCCACTAAAGTGATTTTCCCTAAAATGCAGGTCTGACTATGTCACCCCCTCCCCCCGACACATACTCCCTCCCCACACTCAATAAACTCCAGTGGCTTCCTATTGCCTCCAGGATCAAATA